CAAGATAATAAAACCACTAAGACGGACCAAAGTGAAAAAAACCCCCAAATAAACAAACAAAAAATAACTCGTTCAAGATATACAAGGTGACCATAAGTTTACTGTAAACTTTTATAAATTCATTACAAGAATGAAAAATGAAATATAACTGTATGGATACTACTTAACATAGCTAAGATATAGACTATATAAATATAAGATATAGACTATATAAATATAAGATATAGACTATATAAATGGCCAAGCAGTAAGGGTAAAGTAGCACTAGGTATACGAGATAATGGGCTACCGTTAGACTGATAAAACACGAAGGAGGTTCTACTTCCTAACAGTAAGACAACCAGGCTTATTGGAAAATATCGGTAAACAAATAAACATGAGAATATTTCCGTGCATATTATGCTCAATGATATTGGTGTAAAAGCTGAATACATATTCGTCTTATCTGAAGGTAAAAGCCATTATATATACTCGTCTTATCTGAAGGTACAGTAAAAGCCATTACATATACTCGTTTCATCTGCAGGTAGTTTAAAAGCCATTATATATACATGTTTTATCTGAAGGTCGAGTAAAAGCCAAATATATAATCGTCTCATCTGAAGGTAGAGTAAAAGCCATTATATATACTCTTTTCATCTGAAGAGAGAAAGAATAAAAGCTGAATATATACTCGTTTCATCTGAAGGTAAAGTATAAGCCATTATATACACTTTTTTATCTGAAGGTGGTGTAAAATCAATAGTCAGACAGAAAGAATAAATAAATGGCAAGATCGTTTTTAAGATATCTTGTAAAATATACCTGACATTTTAGATACTAAGGCCAAACAAATCGTTGAACAACCTCTTGACATGAAACCTGGAAACTTATATATAAGTTGTCTTACCTGAAGCTTGGTGTAAAAGCCAAATATATACTCGTCTTATCTTGTGGTGGTGTAAAAGCCAAATACATAGTTAAAGGTCAATAGTCAGGAAGAAAAGTAAATAAATGGAAGATTATCTTTAAGATATCTTGTAAAATGTGTCTCACATTTTAGATACTAAGGTCAAATAAATCGTTGAACAACCTCTTGACATGAAACCTGTAAACTTATAATTTGTCTCATCTAAACGTGGTGTTAAAGCCCTTATAGTTACTCGTCCCATCTGAAAGTGATGTAAAAGCCAAATATATAGTTAGATGTCAATAGTCAGACAGAATGAATAAATAAATGGCAAGATCGTTTTTAAGATATCTTGTAAAATGCGCCTGACATTTTAGATACTAAGGCCAAACAAATCGTTGAACAACCTCTTGACGTGAAACCTGGAAACATATATAAGTTGTCTTATCTGAAGCTTGCTGCAAAATGTATAATCGTCTCATTTAAAAGTGATGTAAAAGCCTAATATATAGTTAGTGGTCAATATTCAGACAGAAAGTATAAATAAATCGCAAGACCACCTTTAAAATTTCTTTTGAAATGTACCTGATATTGTATATACTAAGGTCGGACAAATTGTTGAACTTCCTCTAGACATGAAACCTAGAAAATTTACAAATGCAGAACTTGGAGTGGCGTAAAAAAAAACACCCAAAATAGAAAAGTGACGCGATCTGATAACATTCCTCCAGAGGTTTGGAAGACTCAGGATTTCAATTACATTCTGCTCCAACTCCGTAACGCCACATATAATTTAGAAGCCATAGAACGATGGACAGAAGGCTGCACACTTCTGAGACATGGGCAATAGAACGAGAACAGTCTACCCTCTTAGTGGAAATAAATGGCTCAGTTCGAAATTCCCTGTAGATCGACATAAACCTGATGAAGGCCAGAAAGCATAACGACCGAAACATTGTGATAACAACAACAAGGATGAGGACAATAGTACGTATATAAATAGAGTAAATAATGTGTTGTATCCTTAAAGAGTTTACACACAAACAAAGGTGGTACTCAAGTGAAAGGAACAGCAACATAAGTGTAGATGTAAGAAAGATAGGTTTATTGTAAAAGAGAATACACTACTGCAAGACAGGGGATCGGTCAGCAAGCTAGTAATTGTCGAAGCAAGGTTATTTACCTTACCACACCACGAGGCAGGATGTGTCACAAGGCCGTTTTTAATGTGGGGAAAAACCGAGACCGTAGGCTCGTGCAAAAATTCCCTGTAGACCCCGTAATCTTCAGGCGCTCAACGCGATCGTATTCAGCACCCGGTATATACAGTCAGAACTGTATTTATAACATTATTTACATTATTCGGACTATCGTCTTCATCTTTGTCACCATGTTTATCACGAAGTTTCGGCCGTTGTACGCTCCGGCCTTCTTCAGGTGGTTGGAATTTCGAACTGAACCCTCTATTTCGCTCACTGTAGACTGTTCTAGTTCCACGTGCCATGCTTGATGGATGTCAGTTATCAGTTATCTCCTACTAATTTCACTCTGAAAGTTCTCCACTGCCTTAACCGGGTATTGAACTCACACTTTTTGGGTCCTATCACTGGATCTAACCAACGCCTTTATCCACTGTGCCATGTGTCCTTGAGAATATCTGGGTATGAATTTCTGGGTATTATAATGTCTTCAGCAACCATTTTTACCACTGCTCATATTGCAATTTTCCTGTTATCATTTCATATTTTTACCAGAGTTCATATTGCAACTATGTTGTTATCATTGCTTTTCTCTGGCACTCCTTATTACTGGTTCCCATATTGTATTTATTTCTATGCTTGGTCGGCTCAGGAGATTTTTGTGGCCTAGCATATGTGCTGATTCCTTAAGTTTACGAATTTACCAATGGTGTTCCTTGTCAATGATCTCAACATGATCCCACAGGGGGCGGTGATCTCCCTTCTCTCTCCATACGTGGTCAGCCATGCCTGATTTTTCTACTTCCCCTCGTGCTACAGCTTTCTGGTTTTGAAGCCTTACCTTGAGGGGGCGGCCTGTCTCCCCTTCTTTCTTTCCTCAGCTGCACGGGATAGCGTACACACAGTCTTTAGTCATGTTCTCCTCTATGGGGGGGGGTTCTTACTCGGGAGAGATATCTGCGAAGTGTCGTCAAGCTTTTTGTCCTGATGTTATATGGACCGCAGATCCTTTGTGTTTTCTCTGATAACCCCTTCACATAAGGCAGGCAGACTGCTTTCTGAGTGTTGTTGTCCTCCTCCTCTTGTACCCTCCTATCCCAGTTTTTTTTGGCTGTTGCCATGTACCCAGGGTAGTTGTTACGTTGTAGGGTACTACTTATACTGACCAATTCTTTATCTAACGTCACTGGGTCGACACTTATGACTTTTGCTCGGTGTTGTAAGCAACGGACGATCCCTTTCTTTACGCTGCATGGATGGTGGGAGTTGAAATTGAGGTACTGTCCGGTGAATGTTGGTTTACGGTATACGGATGTCTTGAACCCATGCTCTGTTCGAGATATTAGAACATCCAGGAATGGGAGTGTGTTGTTACTCTCTTTCACCATTGTGAAATGTATCGAAGGTCTTATTGAGTTCACATGTTCCAGTAGAACCTGAACATCTTCCTGGTGTGGCCAGAGTATGAAGGTGTCATCTAGGTACCTTAACCATATAGTTGGCTTTATAGATATAGATTCTAATGTCATTTCCTTCAAATATTCCATGTATATATTCACCATTGCTGGTGATAATGGCGAGCCCTCATCCTGTGGATATATGTGTGATCCCATTCCGAAGTGTGTTTGTGTACAGAAAGTCAACATCTCCATCAGATTATCTATTGGAATACTGGTTCCTTCTTCTAGGGAAGAGTCAGAGGCCAATCTGTCTCTGACTACAGAGAGTGCCTCAGGTGAACAAACTCACCACGTCCAAGCTCACCATTTGGTTGGATAGGATCAAGTGGGATCATGTTGAGATCATAGAATTCTGCGCGAAGGGTCTGTGTGTTCTTAGATCTGTTTCCATTTTCGTGTGTTTCTGTCAGAATGCGTGTATATGCGTATATATATATATATATATATATATATATATATATATATATATATATATATATATATATATATATATATATATATATATATATGTATATTTTTCTCATACCCATCTCTCTCTCCTTCCTCCCACCTCTCTCTCTGTATATATATATATATATATATATATATATATATATATATATAAGTTTTTTGTAGTACAAAATTTAAGGATGGCTAGAAATAAGCATGGTTTATATGGCATTTTAATGTCTATCAGGGTACACAGCACATAAAGGGAAAAACACATGGGTAATGTCTGCATCGATATTTCCTATATGTTCTTTGACAGATCATTAAGAAAGAAGACAATACGTCTGCATTAAGGAAATTGGATTCAGATGATTGGCCATTAACGAGGACCTTAAGCGATTTTGTTAATTTCCATGGTTCGTACTTCGATGCCAATGCTGGCGTTATATATTCGTTATACACTTGATGTTTTAAGCATCTTGGCAAGGTGCTTTTCATTATGTTTTTTTTTTGTTTTTTGTTTTTTTTTACGGAATGTTTATCAGCCAATCGTTTTACGCCGTTTCTTTGCGCTATTATCAGGGTCATCGGATGAATGACAAGAACCGTTAAATTATCTGAATAGGGAAAGTCTCAAGGAACATTTCAAGATGAACAGAAAAAAAAGTAATGTTCAATTGTAACGTTCCGAAAGCGATTACAAGAATAAAAGATGAAGATCCAGATGATGTCTGAAAATAGAAGTACTTAGAAACGACGGTAAAATTAGACACAGATCATGGAAATGCAATAAAACAACGCACACGCACTTATATATATATATATATATATATATATATATATATATATATATAGAAAGAGAGAGATAGAGAGAGGGGAGGGAGATGGGGATTTGCATTTTCCCGTTTGCCTTTAAACTGTGTTTACTGTGTTTTCTTTTCGATTTCTTTTTCTTACTCTTTTCGGAGCTTTCTTTCCCAATTTAATCTTTGTACCTTGATTGGTTCTCGTCCCTGCCTACGCATGCTCTCTTTACGTAATCGTGTCGTTCGGCTTCTTTTATTACCACCCCCTTTACACCGTTACTTTCTCCTTTTTCATGCCTACCCCTTCTCTCTGTTTATGTCTCCTTTTTATGTTCACTCTCTCTCTCATTATCTCGTCCTCTTTTTTTTTTCATGCCTATCTTCCGTTTCTTACTTTTTACGCCTGCACATTTTCTCTCTTTCTTTCTCCTGTATTATGCTTACCGTTTCTCGCTTTTTCTTTCTCCTTTTTTTTTTTTACATGACGCCACCGCACCTCTGGTTGTCTCTTCATCTCTCTGTTTATTTCTTTTTTGCATGTTTTGTTCCACTCTCTGCCTCTTTCTCTTTTTCCATACCTCCATCCACTTTCTGTTTCTTTTTTATGCCTTGTCCCTATTTCTGTGTTTCTTTCATCTTTCCATCCTCTTTCTGTTTCTTTTTTGTCACGTCTCTCTCCTTCTTTCATCCTTCAATCCTCTTTCTGTTTCTTTTTTGTCTTCTCTCTCTCTCTCATCCTTCCATATTCTTTTTGTTTCTTTTTTGTCTTCTCTCTCTCTCTCTCTTTCATACTTCCATCCTCTTTCTCTTTCTTTTTTGTCTCCTCTCTCTCTCTCTCTCACTTTCATCCTTCCATCATCTTTCTGTTTCTTTTTTGTCTTCTCTCTCTCTCCTTCTTTCATCCTCCCATCCTCTTTCTGTTTCTTTTTTGTCTTCTCTCTCTCTCTTTCATCCTTCCATATTCTTTTTGTTTCTTTTTTGTCTTCTCTCTCTCTCTCTCTTTCATACTTCCATCCTCTTTCTCTTTCTTTTTTGTCTCCTCTTTCTCTCTCTCTCTCTCTCTCTCACTTTCATCCTTCCATCATCTTTCTATTTCTTTTTTGTCTCGCCTTCTCCTGCTTTAATCCTTCCATCATCTTTCTGTTTCTTTTTTGTCTTCTCTCTCTATCTCTTTCATCCTTCCATCCTATTTCTGTTTCTTTTTTGTCTTTTCTCTCTCTCTCTTTCATCCTTCCATCATCTTTCTGTTTCTTTTTTGTCTTGTCTCGCTCTCTCTCTCTCTCTCTATTTGATCCTTCCATCCACTTTCTGTTTCGTTTTTGTCTTGTCTCTCTCTCTCTTTCATACTGCCATCTTCTTTCTGTTTCTTTTTCAAGCCATACCCCTCTCTCTGTGTCTCTTTCATATATCCATGCACTTTCTGTTTTTAATGCCTTGCCCCTCTCTCTGTGTCTCATACATTTTCTTTTTGTTTTTTTACGTCTTGTCCCCATCTCTGTGTCTCTTTCATACTTACATCCTAATTCTGTTTCTTTTTTATACCTTGTCCATTTCTCTGTGCCTGTTCCATCCATCATCCACTTTCTGTTTCTTTTTCATGCTTTATCCCTCTCTCTCTCTCTCTTTCTCCTTCTCTTTCTCTCTCTCTGTCTTTTTCATACTTCCATACTTTTCTTGTTTCTTTCTACTTTTCATTCCTTGTCTCTTTCTCAGTTTCTTTCCCTTTTGATACAAACCATCTTTCTCTTTTAATGTCCATTCTCTTTATCCCTTTCTTTTTTTAATCTTCTCCAGTCTCTTTCTCTGTCTTTCCACGTCTCTCTTTCTCTCTCTCTCTTTCTCTCTTTCCCACGTCTTTGTCCCTATCTAACCTTAATTCTCCTCTTCGTTTGGGACTTGAAGCAAATCTGTCATTGTGTACGAAAACGGAGAGGCATTCACTCAGAAAAGATCTCAACGCTTGAATTATTTGCCAACTGCCACAATAATATAAAGTATATCTGTGTGTTTAAACGAAAGACATTCTCAGATTAGAATTGTTTATGTTTCCGCTCGGATCGGCCGGAGTGGGGGAGGGTAAGATGTGGAGAAAGGGGGTGAGACTGGAAGAAGCCCGCTGATGAGAAGATATATTTTTGTAGTTACTAACACAGCCTCAAACCGTACCTCCAACAGCTGCGCGCCTACACCGTGGCAAAGAATACGAGCCCTAAAATGATTTTATAGAAATCGTGCACACAAATCCGAAGAAGTATTGGAATAGCAATAAATATATTCCAAAAGCTAAGCAATGTATTAAGAAAAGGTATATTTCGGTAGTAAATTTGAATTGCCTGGTAGTATAAAGCTTCCTATTTTCACAAACTACAGTACAAAATTGTAAGTTTTCTTCGGTCACTGATCACAGGAAATTTGAAAAAATATGAGGTGAAAATGGAGTTTAACACTTATATTTACATACACTCTGTCCTTGATATTCAGCAATTTTACACATATATATATATATATATATATATATATATATATATATATATATATATATATATATATATATAACTTGTCAGCTGTCAATATACTTCATAACACCCTCGAGCGCCTGGCCTTGGAGCGAGTACAATGGAGATCAGCGTGTTTTAGTGGACTCAGCAGTTTTCAATCAGCTTGTCTGAATTGTCTTCAAAAAGCGAGAGTAAGATCTAAAAGGTCAGCCAATCTAACAGTGATCCCATCCCACAATCCTTAGTCTTGCTCCATATGCGGCCTCCTTTGTAAATCACTAGTGGGCCATAAGTGCCACTTAATATTATCGCACAAAACTTCATAGCTGAATCAATTAAGTTGTCAGATCCTCATACGTCGAAACCGACGGGAGAGTCCATTATATATATATATATATATATATATATATATATATATATATATATATATATATATATATACTCGACTCTCCTGTCGAATTCGACGTGGGGGGTCAAACAGATCAGTTCGCAGGAAACCGACAGCCCGACAACAGCACATGAGATTTGAGTATAGTGGTAAAGGTTTCGTGCAGGACCATCCACACTTTTTGAAGGGACGAATACAGAGACCTGGTGCACTAAGTGCCACAAGTTCCCCGAACGACCCTCCGCAGGTTTTGAATTCAGAATTGTTCTTCTCCTAGACCAGTTGCTATCCAAGGCTATAGAACACAGTTTGTCCTGCTATTTACCTATAGCTGGAGGAAGAAGAAGAGGATTCACATATGAGAGACTCCCACGTCGAGTTCGATGTATGAGGTTCCGACAACCACGAAATAATTACCACAAACAGTACAGGAGAAAGTATTGCATGCAACTGCAACAGGAACACTGTTAGCTGTTTTATTTCGCTTCCGTGTTTCACGCAGTCGAATGATGCTTACTTCTTGATGGTGCATTATTCGTGAATGGCAGCGAGAACAATAATTTGATCTCTTCGTAGCTACCTCTTCAAAGTTTTTGAATGGAATGTTGATCCAAGAAAGGTTGATCTTCAGTTCTCTTTATACCTGAGCCAAGGTCTACCAACATTTCTGACCACAAAAACAACAACAACAATAATAATGACAATAAAATATTCTCATATATTTGATAATAATTTTATACTTTATTATTATTATTTTAAAAGTATAACAATACATTGGCACATTGATGACAATCTGTTTACTCCGACATCCAATGTATTAAATATATATCTATCTATCTATCTATCTATCTATATATATATATATATATATATATATATATATATATATATATATATATATATATATCCCCATGGGCTATGTAAAGTACCAGGTGGAAATCTAGTGCGATCTAGCTGCCCTTGATGATGGTGAAAGGAATCTCTCTGAACTTTGGTTAGCAATCGTTTTAGTGTTTGTTTCATGATAATAAGACTTCATTTGGGAAGGAAAACACATGAAAGCTTAACCTGATCATTATATATATATATATATATATATATATATATATATATATATATATATATATTATTTAGGTAGCAATCTTTCATTTATACATGCGAAAATGACGTGTGTGTCCCACTTTTTCAATTACGAAAATTACACAAACATATCTTGAAATAGTAAAAAGTAAATTACCATTGGCTTCAACCGTAGCCTCCAGACAACTACGGAATCCTCTGCAATATTTCTGGACAGTTTCCTTGTTT